TTATTATTATTATTATTATTATAAGAGGGGACGAAGAGTTCTAATTCTAAGAGTCCTCCCACAAAACATGAGCAGAGCGCAATTACTGTTTTTAAATGCGGCCTCCAGGTTGTTTTGGTCGATGTGCTGCATATGTTTGTGGTTATTTAAACAAGAGTTCTGCACCCGAATCCACTGGATAAAGCGGTAAACCGTAGAATACCCTGATAAGCCTGGAGTTTCCTTCCCAGAGGAAGCCATCTTCCCAGTATCGTTCTTACCTTGTCAAGTTTAGCTTTCAATCGTGTTCAATGGTCCCTTGTTCTCCAATTTGTAGTATTGCGTGTGGTTGATGTTAATTTTTCCGCTTAGTTGCATCAGTTCTGAGTCACTTCTGCCTAAAAAGTAGGCGACGAAGAGGAGTAGGTGAAGTAATCACCACTTTTGCATTACACTACTTGCAGGTTCACTTACTCTGTTCCCGTAAAGGAGTGCTATTTTGAACAGGGCGGTGGTTACTAGGTTAGTTTGGGCCGATCTGGCTGACAAAGTTGCGGCGCTAGTACGTCGACAAACTGTAATGTTTTCGGCCGGAAAAATTGTTCATTGCACACAAACCAGAAAGTAGCGTTCGGTATCCGTCTACATGGTGTTCGCTCGGATTGAAATTCGGTCAACGTCGATTTCAAGAAAACGACCTCCATATCGTAATGAGATTCCTCCAGGTAAACTACATTATTCGAAGTGTCTTTTCGTAGCTGCTACTCTCAAGTAACACTAGAATTTCAACTTGGCTATGTGATTTTGGATTTGAACATGATTGCCGGTTGAGCCATCCGCCTGCAGGATGGCACAAAGTTTCCGAGAATTCCCATGACTACAATTATTGTTGACTATGGTCACCGGAAGTGCAAATTAGTGAGGCGCATTAGTGTGATGTGAGTACTGAAGGGTTTGCTCTTCTGACAGTCCACACTAGGACTCCTGTTTGAGGCAATCCTTGGGTTATCGGAAAAAATCGTTCACCTGTAACACTCGGTGCCAAGCTGTCATACCACCCGAAGGAAGCATGAGGGCTGAAACACTTCCAGGTTTCCCAAGCCTAGACAAAGGGAGTCGAGAGACAGGTCGGTTCGAACCATGGACCTTCCAGTCAGTAAATTTAAGGTTGTGGTCATCCATGCTCTGTGATCTGAGGTGAAGTCTCTGCAACTTATTACCCGCGTTGCGTTTCAATACCGTATATAGACCAAACAGCTGGGTACTGAATATTTTATGCGCGACACTGAAGTATTGCAGGATAGTTCACTCTCCCTCTCTCTCTCTCTCTCTCTCTCTCT